CTCATGGACAGAAACTGGAAGTTGGTTCCACAAGAGAGGAGCTTGATAACTGAAAGCTCTGCCTCCCATTCTACTTGTTATACTTGTTATCAAATCTTGTCATTTTACTTGTTAATTCTATTCTGAATTTGACAGGGAGCCAGTGGAGAGAAGCTAAAACTGGAGAAATATGATCTCTCCTTCCAACTCTCATTAAAACTCTAGCAGCAGCATTTTGGATTAACTGAAGACTTTTTAAAGAGTTTTTTGGACCCAGATAATAAAGAATTACAGTAATCCAGTCTAGACGTGATAAATGCATGAATCAGTTTTTCTGCATCATTTTTAGACAAAATGTTTCTAATTTTAGTGATATTACACAGGTGGAAGAAGGTGGTCCTGGTAACATTTTTAATGTGGGGGTTAAAAGACATATCTGTCGTGGGTTTTTTGGTCTGTTTAGTTTATGTCATTTTGGGGTTATTTGTTAGTTTTCTTCTGTCAGCCTTATGTCTGTCTCAGGTGTGTCTGTTTTCTGTGATTGAGTTTGCCCTTCTGTCTCCAGGTGTTTCCACTCCTCTTACTCAGTCTTCTGTGTATTTAAGTTCTGTTCTGTGGTTGTCTAGTGTGGGTGCATTGTCTTTTTTTTTTTGGGTCCTTCTGGCCTTCTCCATTTTTTATTTTTATTTTTTATTTTTTGGCTGTGTGAGTAACTGTCCAAGATTTTTGTGAAGCTGCAAGTTCTTTGTCTGTATCCTGAGTTTGATTACAACAGCCTGTCAAGTCCCAAGTTTTTTTTAAAGTGTTTCCTGTCAAGTCCAGCAAGCCTCCATTTAATAAACTTTGTTTTACTTTTGAGCACCATGTCCCCGCTTATGTGTCACATCCCTCAGTCTCTCCCCTGTGGGAGAACATAATCCCAACAACATCCTGATCAAAAATAACACCAAGGTTATTAGAACTGGAGGCCAGATTATCTTATGTTTAGAAGTGTTGTATCATACTTCCAGGATTCTAGACTTTTCTCAGTTTGCCTTCCTCCTGTCATCAACCGTCCTTCTCAAATTATATTCCATCCTCCCTCCCTGTTACCTGCTAACTCAGAGAAACCCTCTTTAGTTTAATCAGCAACATCTGTGAGCCACAAATGGTACAGCAGCTGATGTTAGTGTTAAATGCAACAGTTGCTGAATGCTGATTGGTTACTCTTGTTGAGTTATTCCTCAAACAGACTTCCTGGATTCCCACAATAGTGCTGGTGGTGGATGGATGATGATGGTTTTAGTGTTCCCCCTGGCTGCATTGGATTGGTAACATGGAAAGGGGAGCACTCCAGCTTACCAGGAGGTGAAATGATGTGTGTGTGTGTGTGTGTGTGTGTGTGTTTCCTGTACATTTTTAGTTGACTTTTAGCCACACTGCTTTGTTAAAATCATTTTACTGTTGGAAGGTCCACAGAAATCAGTCCTAAACATTTACAAACTCACCAGTTGAAGTCGTTGAAGTCATTTTGAGCCACAAGCCAGAAGTAGACCCAAAACAGGAGCAAAACAAAGGAATTGCACAAGATGATGAACCATGCACACTCCCACTGCAGAGGAACACAAACAACTTCATGTACATTTATGAACAGATTTAAAACTCAACACAGCATGCTGTGTGGCCCTGATGTTTTCAGACCTCTGGTGTATTTCAGCAGATATCAAACAACTATTCGTTTTATTAAATTATAACTTTTCTGTTTTTTTAATCACTGCTTGTCCAGTGTATGTCTATTTTATTATCACCTTCTGAAACAGGGTGTGTTATTTTTTTATGGTGTGTGTGTGTGTGTGTGTGTGTGTGTGTGTGTGTGTGTGTGTGTGTGTGTGTGTGTGTGTGTGTGT